CAATAAACAAAAAGCAGGCTGATGCCTTATCAGCATTTTATCGGAGTTTACATTAGCGATTTTAATGTCCACTATAATGAAAGCGTAAACCGCCTAATGAAAGCAAATGTGATATGAATTTACTCTGCTGAGTCATGAGGTTTTCTCGAGTATCCAATTTAGTCTTTTTACAAAGAGACTCTTTCTCGTGTATTGCATATGAGTTCAACAATGGCTAAGAACTATTAGCACATGAGAGTGAGTTTCTTTAAAAGGTGTTTGCACCTGTACATAATCAAAAAGGCTTTTAAAGCCAACTCGTGATATTTGAAACGGTTATGTTTCATGTAACACATACATTTATTGGTGTGCAGACCAAGAAAATACAAGTGACTCGTGGGATATTCCACGTACCACTCGAAAGCATTGCATAACTACTACATACAGTGTCAGCTGAAAAATAAAGTGTCCGTGTATCTAGAGCAGGGGGAGGGGGGAGGAGGGGTGAGGGGCTGGCAGCTACCTTTCAGCTCGCCGCTTTTCTGGTTTCTATGATCGCCCCAGTAAAGAAATCTGTCAATCACAGTTTCCTATGATGTCAACGCTGCAACAGGTTTTCGACCCTGAGCGCCCCTATACCACCTGAGCTAACATCAGCAGTTAGTTAGTAAGGATTTTATTTAGCCAAATAGTTAGTTAGATTGTTATTTAGCTAGTTAGTTAGGTAGTTAGTAGATAGTTAATAAATTGCTTGTTAAATGATTAAGNACAACCTACGTATGTCTACGCCATACATCGTTTTTTATATTTCCGATACTTGTCGATTGAAATCGATCAAAATCGATCAAAATCGATCAAAATCAATCAGAATCGAACAAAGTCGATAATCACAATAAATTGTGTGATCGACTTTTATCGAATTCCGATATTTGTCGATTGATTAGTATCGACAACGATTGACAATGATCGATTTTTATCGACTATCGAAATAATCGACATGTTACGTCCTGACGTAACGCATCAATCGAAATCGATCATCGGAAACCCAATCGTTAAATCAATATTACTCTATTTTAATCAATAATAGTCAATTGATTAAGCAAATTAATTGATTAAAATCGATAATCACAGTAGTTTAAGCATCGGGTATAGATTTCTATCGTTTTTGAGAAACTGTTGGGATATCGCGACCAAACACCTGCTAATAATATACTCAGGAAGCCAATTTGATCGAAGCAATAGTGTCGAGAGTGTCAGTGATATTTTTTATAAAGATAAGGTTTTCGACCCAGAGCGCCCCTATACCACCTGGGCTAACATCGACAGTTAGTTAGTAAAGATGTTACTTAGCTAGTTAGTTAGATTGTTATTTAGCTAGTTAGTTAGGTAGTTAGTAGATAGTTAATAAATTGCTTGTTAAATGATTAAGCTTTTATATATTCATACATTTTATTAACTGCACGGCCATGGGCCGAGTGCGGTTCATAATCTACCCTTGGTTTATTATTATTATTATTTTTTTTGTCGGTGACCAGACCAAACTTCCTCTAGGCCAAATTTTGAGTCACGCAACGTGTGGTGTTTATTCGCTAAAAGCTGTTAAAAAATTAATACACGGACAATTTTACGGATATTGTTTTCTTTGTTGTGGGTAAAATATATCTTCTTTTGGTTTTATCGAAGYGTTGGATTCAAACCGAATAATAAATACGCTAAAAAAGGTATTATGTCAGCCATGGAATACGTTGAAGTTGCAGCTTTCACTTTCGATAGGTGACAAATAAGATCGTGTTTACTTTGCAAGTTTATTTCGCCAGAAGCAACGGTCATTAATTTATTTGCAATTTTGCGAGTATTTCTTGTGGTTTTAGGCAAATGAAGGAAATTCTTTGGCTGTTTCATCACAGCGAGGTCATTCTTGGGATCGCCCACTGTAGGGTGTGAAGTGGCGGGAAAAATATTATGTGGACATGGCTCTCCCTTTTTGGTCTTCGGTCGGCGCCTTACATCTTCACTGCTATCGCAGATGTGGTGCAGTGAATGTAGACATCTCACCATGGTGTTGATTTCCTCTGTCATTATTTACTATAGATGACTTTCTCACTCTGGGTCCCCCCTCCTCTCCAGTTTGTTACAACAGCTTGCAGGCGTGTATTCAGCTGTGTTCCAAACTTGGCCTCCCCCTTCACCCAGACAAGCTGGAGGGCCTGTCTACTTGTCTCTCCTTTCTAGTTATCGAGCTGGACTCAGTCAAGATGCAGGCACGGGTTCCCATTGACAAAAGAGAGCGCATCGTCACTCTACTGGAGTCCTGGTCTGACAAGCGATTCTGCAAGTGGCAGGAGTTAGAGTTCCTTGTTGGCCTCCTCCACCATGCATGCAACATCGCCCCCCAGGGTTGAACGTTCCTCCGTTGCATGTACTGTGTACTTTGAGATGTGATGATCATCCCATTTGTCTAAACCAGGAATCCTGCTCGGACCTTACCTGGTGGTGCGAACTTTTCCACAGGTGGGATGGGCTCAGCTTCTTCCTGATGCCAGAATGGGCTCCCATCCCTGATTTTCAAGTTTCTTCTGATGCCACCGGCACTCTGGGCTATGGAGCCATCTTCCAGCACCAGTGGTTCTGCGGTCCATGGTCAGCATCACAGCAACCCCTGTCTATTGCGTACAGGGAGCTCTTTCCCATTGTTGTGGCTGCATACTTATGGGGTCCTCAGTGGTCTTCTAGGCGGGTCGAGTTCCTGTGTGACAATGAGTCGGTGGTGGCTGTTCTGTCTTCTGGTACCTTCCGGGACTCTAAATTAATGTTTTTGATGCATTTTTTAGCATTGTTGGCAGTGCGCCGTTCGTTTTCCTTTAAGGCCTCATCTGTTACCGACACTCTTTTACATTTTCAGTTTCAAAGATTCAGACGCCTGGCCCCTTGGGTGGGCCTTGCTGCGGCCCCAGGTCCTCTGGATCTCCTCAAAGCCCTGCTTGTCACTTGCCCTTTCTTCAACTCACCCGGGGCCTCCGTCCGGGGCTCCCAGGGCCACGTCGTGCTCTGGGCGGCATGCTGCCTTGGTTTCTTTGGTTTCTTGCATGCTGATGGGTTTGCAGCTAACTCTCTGTTTGATCCAAGCGTTGGCCTGGGGGTTAGTGATGTGCAGGCCAATACCCTGCAGGTGCTTGAGGACGGATCTTTTTCGCGTTGGCTGCTGCCTCTGCATCGGTCAGCGCAGTAATGTCGTCTCCCCTTTGGTAGCTCTGGGCAATTTCTTGGCTGTGTGTGGCCCTTCCCCAGGGCCATTGTTTTGTTTTGCTGATGGTCGTCCCTTAACACGCCAACTGCTGTCTTTGGTAGGCTGCTCGGGTAGTTGCTCTGGCCATAGCTTCCGGATTAGTGCTGCCACTACAGCACCTTCCTGGGGACTGCCAGATCACCTGATTAAGACTTGAGGTCGCTGGTCTAGTGGCGTTTGTCAGCACTGTGTCTGCACATCGGCTGGCTCTCTTGGCGGGCTGGTGTATCAGCGTAGCAGGTTTGGCGTTTATGAGTTTTCTTTTACTTGGGTTGGGTGCCTCAGGTCTGGCCCCTTGGGAGCTGTGGCTTATGGGCCATGAGCCCCCATCTCTCCAGTCTGGGTCAGCCTAGAGGCCCTTTTGGCAGGGGAGGTGGGGATTGTGGCTGGGTTGCAGGGAAGGGCAGGCTTTTGAGATGCTCTTGCTACCTGAGTTTGGGGTGGGCAGCTCCAGCCCCCAGGTTCCTGGGCACCCAACCTCCCTGTGTGACTCGCGCATTAAATGAGGTTAAATATACTTATTTAACTTAGTTAACGACAAGGAGCATGTTGCTCAGTAGTTGGCGTGGCGTTGGCATGGCATTGGCATTTATTAGCGTTTTTGGTGGCATGATGTGGCATTTGGTTTGTTGCTTGGGTTTGCGTTACTGTAGTAGGCCTGGTGCGGAGCAGTTTCCTGTGCCCCCGGGTCAGTGGTTTATTGTTGCAATTTATCCATGTGCCTTTACATGTGGTTGTAGTTTTTACTGTGCGAAGTCTTCGGGGCATCTTGATCAGTTTTAGAGTTTCTTTAGTGTTTGCTCCCATCCTCCTCACCCTTTGTTATTATTACCTTATTTATTATTACTGAATTAGTATGTTTATTGTTTATTTTGTTATTTATTATTATTGTTATTATTGTTATTATTATTATTATTATTTTTATTGTTTGTTATTGTTATTATTTTTATTATTTCCTCTGAGCTCCTGGCTTTGTGTGACAGGTGCTTACCCTGGGGCTGGGTATGAGGAATTCATAAAAAAAGGCTGACATTTTAAATTTTTATATCGTGCTTGAGTAGGATGCAATTTCATTTTGAACACTGTTTTCATAAATCTAGACATACTGTGTATACAGTAAACTGGATGCTAATTTGTCAGCAGAATTGAATAATTTTACTAAGCTGATACTGATAAAAACATATTTTTTCTTGTCTATTCTTATCCACTTTAGAGATACTCAAGAATCAAGCTTTTGCTGCATACATGTAAAGTTCTCATTTATTACTGATGGTGTGGTGAGTAGTTCAATATATATATTAGTTATTTCCCTGATCTACTGTCATTTTAGCAATAGAATTTAATTGGGTGCAACTTGAAGTGTTTAAATGTTACTACAAGGAAAATCACATCTTTCTTATCAAGGCCATTTTAAAACATAGACAAGTAATCTGTACGAGAAACAAAATGCTGTTTACTACTACTAAATATCTCTTTTATGAAGAAAGATATCTCAGCCAATACATTCTTTTCAGGAAGACTTTACTAGAGGTGCTTCACAACATGAGCTTAACATTTTTGTTACCATGGCAACATACTGGGTTCCAGGCCTCCCCAATATTAAAGACTTTTCTGGTCACCTTGAACTTCCCATATTGATATTTGGCAATGGTGCCTCATCTGCATGATCCAGCAAGCATATAACTACATAAAGTCATTTGTTAGGTGGAGTTAGAGGGGACTGGAAAGAGTGGGTTGCTATGGGAGTGGAAATTTTTATTAATAGCCTTAGGTGTGTTGCATGTACAGTTTCAATAGGTTCCGCTGCAAATTGACTGAGATAGCTTTATTTATAGCAGAGCTCTGGGAACCCCATACTCATATACATGTACATGTAGGAAAGATTTGTAAAGGGCTTAAAATCACTGCAAATGTTGGAAAGAGCAAGAAAAGGATTACAAGAGAGTGGAGGAATAAAAAAGGTGGCCTCCTTTATTTGCATTTTGCCCACACGCTTGCTTATGGCCTGGTTTGCTGTAATTTTGCACCCACCCTCCATCTGGATATTGCTTATTGACAAGTTGATTTTACTGATCATGTACATGTAGAGGAGGAAAATTAGCCAATTTTAAAGTGATAAATATTTTTGCCAAAAAGCTGGTGTGTGATAAATTAAAGTTGTCAGATGTGAAAAATGGCTTGTGAGGACTGTTTGTCACATAAAATGTGGCAAATATGTTCATTAGCACCATATTTAACACCTCCGCCTTGCTGTCCAAGCAAAGACACACTAAACTTTGACTTGTTCACACTGTGACATAAGACAACACAATTAAATACACCTGCAAATTTGTCACATCAAAATTGTCACATCAAAAATTGCTTGTGTAGACCAGGCTTACATGTATTACTGCTCATAACATTCCATTTATGCAACATGTAATCTGTCAACATGAAGGCATAAATTTATTTAAATCAGGTTCGCACTCTTGCAGTTAATATTCCATGGTTCCTGTCAAATAATTTTTGTTACAAAACGAGACATTACAAACTGTATGACCTTTCATTAATTAGCAGTTTTGCTTTGTTACTGTTTAGAACTGATATTGGCAAAGCAGATCATCACAATGTCTAAAGCTGCAACCAACGCTAGCAGCAGTTCAGAGGATGATGGTAATGACGGCTGCAATTGTCAAGTTATTTATGATAAGGATGGATGGTTTTCTCGTGCAGATTACATTTTATTATAAATTATAGACATGTAAATCAGACCTAATTTCACCACAGGATGCAAAAAGTAGATGCAGAAATCTCCAAAGCTAAAGCCATAATTCTCCTCATAAACACTTTCTGTATGAGAATGGCCCCACATGTGACATGTCCTGTACATTCCCAGGGAGACCCTAGAGGCAGAGCCTGTCTCTAACTGATTACTAAGCTGTTTTAGTAGTTCAGAAATTACATTGTAGTTTAATGGGGACAAATGACAACACTGTGCCCAGCCTCTCTGCTTTCAACCAGCATGACCCCAAAGCAATCAACTGTATCACATCAGTCCTTGGGTACTGTTCCACCATTTTCCAGTGCAGGAGTGGAACTGCGTCAGAAAACTACCCCCATTTCAAGACCTGTTTTTATCAGGGTGTGGGGGAACATAAGATATAAAAACAACCCTTGATAATTCTGCGGATAGGGGCATTCATGAAACACGCAGTGGAAAAATGGAAATGTCAAAGGGGTTAAAGAATTAAACATTTCAAGACCTATTTTTATCAGAGGGTGGGGGAGCTTTAGATATAAAACACCCTTTAATAATTCTGAAGATAGGGGCATTCATGAAACACCCACTGTAAATATAGAAATTTCAGTGGGACAAGAAACATAGAAACCCAATCCAACCATTAAAAGTTAAACAGTATTTTGTTGAACCATTAGATTGCACTTTTGAAACCAGTGCAAGGCAGTCAGCTGAATATCTCGATTACTTTTATTTATAAATAATATATTAATAGACTAAAAGGCCATTGATTATTCATGAGGATCTATATTTGTTCTACCATGGCCAGGAAATGTTGAAATCTATACAAATGTATGCTTAAGTTAACTTGGGCCACCGATATGTCATTCTGATGTTATTATCACTTTGATATGTAAGAAAACTGCATCACTGGTTAACTGGAAGTTTCTCCTCTTTCACATATAGTTGCTTTTAAAGAAGGCAAACCTGATGACCTTGAACTAGATGAGCTGGCGGGAAAGATTGCTGCAAAGTGGCAGGAGCTAGGACTTCACCTTGGCATTTGTCAGGATGTACTGGACGAAATACAGGCTAATCAAGAAAGAAAACCAT